ATTATCAAAATAAATATCGGCCGCGAAAATTTTACGGCTACACACGCTGACGAAATGTGCGTGTAATATAATATATTTGAACAAACCAGTGACGAAAATGACAAAAACGACGATGGCGATGATAACAGCCAAAACAACAACAATAATGAGTACAATATCGTATAACAACTTACTGGCCGTATTACACGTCGCTGGTACACTGCTGGCAAACGGTGTGGTTACAGAGTAGGCCAGCAAGCTCTCTCTCCTCGGCGGCGGCGGCGGTGGAAAAAAACCATACACACGACAACAAAACAAAACCCGTCCGATGGTGGGGCGACCGAACGAATACACGTAACCAACAACACACTCACACGCGCGGGCGCTCGCGCTCGGCGATGGCCGTCGGAGTAGAGGTATCTAATACCTGTGCGTATAACGTCATGTAATAATAATAATCTTATACCGCGGTACGTAGGTATATAGGTACCTCGGTGCGTTTAATAAAATATATTTTAAAAACGCGTGTCACGTGCATATACGTCGTACGCCTATTAATATTAGTATAGTGGATAAGGTACATACATTATCGTATGGGTATTACAACTACCTAAATATATACACAATATTATTATAATGTTATAACACGCGCGCACCTTCAGTAAGTAAATAAACCACCCATAAAATATCAAGACGTCATACTATGTACAATATGTTTATGGTTAGGTGCTATTGCGCGGATGCTAGAATGATAATATTATCATTATAATATATTTTATTTTGTATACACACACGAAACGCGCGTAATATTACCTACGCGAGAATCATCTTTGGCAAGAGTGGTGTGGTGGTGGTGGTGGTGGTGGGATGCGTGTGAATCGTATTACCTACGCGCACCCGACTTTTTTTCCTCTTCTTTCTTCTCTTGTCGTCGTTATTCGGACGCTGGACGGCCACGGAAGACTGCCGACGCCGCTGGGTGGACGATGTATCGTCTGCGGTGTGCACGCGTAGTATATCGCATGTAGTGGCGTGCTGCGTGGCCGGCCGAACGTGACGGAGACGCGACGGACCGGCGCGCCACGGCTGAACCTTACATGTCGTGACCGCCGCTCATCCACTGCCTTTTTTTCACCGTACACTTTTACTAGGTACCCGTATCATATTATCATGCCTTACGCTGCCCGGTTAACAAATTTACAGTCGATTCTCGCCGGTTGGAAGAACCGATGCGATTATAATATTAATATTATAGTGATATGATAGCTGTTCATCTATCATCATCGTTGATGGAAACTTAATGACGGTATCATCGAGCGTAAGCGATAGAGTTGTAGGCATCGCACGCGTTATATAGTCGCATTGTTGGTACCTACGCGCTCGCATTGTTACCGTCATTACTAATTACCTAGTAAAGTTACCTACCAATATTTATAATCGTACTATTATACTGCAATAATACGTGCGATCACATATTATAGTGACCGGGTGCCTGGTAGGGGGGGAGCGACGTGAGACGGTCACAGCGGTTCTCCGCCCCGCCAGTTCCGGTTACCGCCACATGCCGCGGCACAACAACTTGCGAAGACGGCAGTGAATATAATATTATTATGTATAGGTATAGTGGTAATATGATATTATTATAATAATATTATGCACGCTGCACCTGTCCTGCACCGGTGTTGAAACCAGTGTTATAATATTACGACTTAGGTACAGGAACGATTTTTTTTTTTATCCTTATTAATTATACCTACGTCGTAGGTAAATACAATTCATTATCAAGAAACGTATCGACAAAATTAATGTTTTATTTTTATTATCGAATTTAATTAATTCCACGAATAACTCGTATACTGCTATAGGTATAGTGTCATCGAGTTGGATGTCGCATAGACTGTATTTTTATTCGTGCACTTAACCAAATTTGGTTTTGAATAAATACGCATCTGAGAATTTCAGGAACCACCGAGTTTGTCATTTTACAACTTTCCCCTTATTTACATAATACGAATTACCATAATTTCGTGTCACTGAACTTGAATAAACTCGACGAGAAAAGTTCCTATCGGGTTATTAGCCCGTCCTCGGTCGCAAGGCATTCGACTATAAATTAGGTAGGTATATTTTGTTTGGACCTACAAGATTTTAGAATAATATTAACAATGTTAGTTATGCATTTTACAATCACATAGAAAACCTGTTTTTTTCATTCTGCTCGTCATCACGATTCCGCTGTTGACCTGTGTTATATTTCTAGTATATTTTGTACCTATAATCGATTCAAGTGATATATAATAATGGAGAATGATATTGTACAAAATATTAAAATTACGATATTTGTTAGTATCTAACCATGTAGGTAATAAGAATTACGTACTGTTAAATGCTAAGACTGCATCCGTTTTCACTTTTTCAGTAAATTTATACGTAATTAAGCGTTTAATTTTTTTCAAATAATAAATAATAAATAACTATGGAACAAAATGTTTTTCCAAACTACTTATAAAAGATTTTTTAAAGTATTTAGAGTACACACATTTTAATATATACATTATGCATTGTATTACCTATATCCACTACTGACTACAAATTTACCTATTATTCAAATAATATAAGATACCAAAACCATGAATAATCACTTATAGATAATACTATGCAATAAAATGTGTTTCATTTCTGGGAAATTTGTTTTTTTTTCTTAGTGGATGAAAATAAATTTATTGTTATCTTACTTATCGTGAACATCGTGTAAGAAGGCCAAGATTTGGAAATAAACAGTTGTATGAAAATGGAAAACAGTCAGTTACACAAAAATTATTTCTCATTATAATAAATAAAAAATCAAAAGTACTAAATAATATTATTAATATTTGTAAGAAATTCTAAAAATTATTCTTAGTACTATTCCACAGAATAACTGATTAATAGTATATGGTTTCATGGACACCAATTATGGACTATTGACAGTAAGTTTTACCAGTGACATTGAACATACGTTTTATCAGTTACCATTTATGTATTTTATTACCTAGGTACCTACCTTCTAAATAATATAAAATATTATACATTTTGCCATCAAACAATGGTGATTAGTGCATACCTACTGATTATGGCATACTGCATCACTGCATCAGTATTCAGTACAACAGTAGGTTCCTATATTATATACTAAGCTTATACAATGAGTATCTTCAAACGTGTAGCTATTTTACACTCTCATCGTCACACATGAGTCTTGCAAGATGCAACATATTAAGTTATAACTTATACCTATAACGTGATACATTTTTATTATCTTATGGGTATTGATTTCGTTCTCGGTCCAATTTATAGTTAATTAAATGGTTTTAATATTAATTTGTAAGTTATACAATTTGTGATTTTACAAATCATAATGTATATATGATTATATATGTATATATATATGTACATACATAAAACACAATAATTTAAAAAAGTTCATTCAATGCATGAAAATATTTTTTTTATATATTAATTGATGTATAAATAAATACAATAAATATCATAAATTAATTATACCCGATGTAGGCAATATAGTCGTATAGGTTTAGTAATCAACGATTTATAATTCGAGAACAAAAATAACCATTTAAGAGAATAATTTAAAGAGTTTCCGAGGACTAAAATGTTCTAAATCAACATAATTTACAAATTTAATAGTGGTCTAAATATAACCATTTAGTTTTTAACCATAGTGTTAGGCCCCATAGGTTCTGAATAAATTATAAAATTAAATAGGGGTTGTTTGAGCGCACCTAGCCTCTGCGCCTTAAAGGAACAGATGTGCCTTTACGCTGTTGCAATCTGAGTTGCACTGCTCTAAATTATCATACAGCAATAAAAATAAATATAAAATTAATCAAGAAGCAACTTTTGATAATGGTAACTTTATTTTTACAAAGAAAGAATAACAAAATAATATAAATGACTAAGTAGCCTTGTTGGCTCAACAATATAATAATGTGTCATAAAAATAATAGGTAGCCCTGCTGGCTCAACACAATAATAATGTATAATGAAAATAATAGGTAGCCCTGCTGGCGTAAAATATATAATAATGTGTAAATAATAATATGAGGCTCGTCAGCCTGTTACCTGGGATCTGGCGTTCGTTAGCGGCTTCAAACCAGAACGCTACCGCCTCGGGATGCACTAATTTTTACAATAAAAATAATACAATGTAATACTAAAATATGTGACAACCCCGAGAACGTGCGACTAACAAGCCACCAGATCAGACGCTTAACTCACTGAACATGCAATTCACCAACAACGAACAAATCACGTGCTTCTATAAGTATGTCTCTGAACGCCCTGAATGGGGAAAATAATATTAGAATTGCACAATGTAGTGACTACGAACGATACTTACAGAAGCAAATCACAGAACAGGAAACATGAACGAAAAAACAACGATGAAATTAGACACGAATTGAAAAAGAGACGAATAAAATATTAATGTGTAACAAGCTAGGGCCACACGGTTTTTGTACTTTGTACCTTGTGCCTGCTGTATAAAGTACTGGTTATATTGAATGTATTGACACTGGCTGGAACACCTCACAGCTCGAGTGCCGGCGAAAAAAGAAAAAGAAAACGAATGACATATTACGAACAAGACGAAAAGTTTCAAATATGAAGTGAGGGACAATAAAATAAATTCACGATAAACCGTTTTTAAACTTACAAAAACGGTTAACAATCACACGACGGATAACAACGATAACTGATACGGCTACGCAGCCTGATAAGAGCGACCGCTAGTATCACAGCTGGCAGGGAGACAATGTGCGCAGCTGTGGCACAACATTTGTTCGCGCTGCTCAATGGCGCGAACATATACCCCCCTTTTGAAAGGATAAGGCCTTTCAAAACTGCATAATACAAGTGTGTATAAATATATAAAAAAAATTAAACAAAACCATGATTTATAAAAAAAAAAAAAAAAAAAAAAAAAAAAACCATAATTATTTTAGAACAATTTTTTTTAACAATGACTAGACAGCTGTATCCTGATTCTCATCTTCAGGTGTTGGTAGAAATGCCAGCTTCACCACTGGACGGCTGAATAATTGACCCGCAGAGTTGCGCACAGTGACTGCTCTAACAATACCGTCTCGCCCTGGATGAATCTCTGTTATCCGGACCAGAGGCCATTGTAACGGTGGTAACAATTCGTTTTTTAATATTGCAATGTCGCCGACCACAGCACTTCGAGTTCTTTTTAGCCATTTTCCCTTCCTTTGACATTGGGGCAGGTACTCTGACAGCCATCGCTTCCAAAATATTTGAAATTGTGCTTGCATAAGCTTGAATCTGCGCAATCGGTTTTGAGGAACTGTCGAGTGGTCAGGTTCAGGAGGCAACATTAAAGGGCCACCGACCAGGAAATGCCCAGGTGTTAATACGTTTAAATCACCAGGATCTGACGACATAGGTGTCAAGGGCCTTGAGTTTAATGCGGCCTCTACCTTGCAAAGTAACGTCGTGGTTTCGTCATAGGTTAATAACACTCCCTTTGATACTCGATATAAATGTCACTTTGCTGATTGGACTGCCGCTTCCCACAGGCCTCCGAAGTGAGGCGCTGCTGCTGGTATGAATTTCCACTGGATGGCGTTAATGCTTAAGTAGTCATTTACAGCTTTGTCTTTTTTATGTGCTTTAAATTGAGATTGTAATGCTCGATCAGCACCAACAAAATTTGTGCCATTGTCACTATACAGCACTGAAATTTGTCCTCGCCGAGCCATGAAACGGGAGAGTGTGGCAAGAAAGTCTTCTGTTGTTAATGAGGAAACCAATTCTAAATGTATTGCTCTTGTTACCATACATACAAACACGCATATGTAACTTTTTTTTGGTGTGACTCTTCTAAGTCCACTTCTCACCATGATGGGGCCACAATAGTCCACTCCTGTTTTCGAGAATGCCCGACTAATGGTGACTCTTTCACGTGGTAACGGGGCCATCACTGGCGAGAGGAATATCGGCTTTGTGCGGAAACATTGTAAACAATGATGGACTGTTTTTCTAGCGATTTCTCTTCCTCTAAGAGGCCAGTACTTTCGTGACACATGAGCAAGTAATGCTTGAGGGCCAGCATGCATTAAGCGACGATGCTCATAATTGAAGATCATCTTGGTTACCATGCTTTTTGAAGGCAATACCATTGGATGCCTTGAGTCATAACTTATGGGCGAGTTCACCAGGCGACCACCTACTCTTATCACTCCATGTTCATCGATAAATGGACTTAGTCTGAATAGTGGACTACAACGACGTACCAGTTTACCTGCCTTTAAAGAAGACAACTCATCATCAAATGCGCTGATTTGAGCATTAGTTACCCAGAATCGTTCAGCATCTGCAATTTCTGTGATGGTTAAAAAGCCAACTGTACGTCTATCGCGTTTGTTTAAAAGCGAAAATTTGCAATTATTGATAAAGCGCTGTACTAAAGCTGTAATTCTAAGCAATGTTGACCAACTTGAGTATTTCTCTAACAACCAAGGTGCAGGTGTACCTGATGCTGTGAGTACCAGCTTTACTGCACGAACTTCAGGAAGGGTATCTGGTGTTTGATAGCTGTTAGGCCACCTGCCTTTTCCTTGCATCAGCCAATAGGGTCCATGCCACCACAATTTCGACTGTGAAATGGATGCAGCATCAATCCCCCGAGAAATTAAGTCTGCTGGGTTTTCCTTCGTAGGCACGTGATGCCACTGGTCAGGAGACGAAACGTCAAGGATTCGAGCAAGCCTGTTTGATATATAAGCCGAAAATAGAGACTGGCTCTGTATCCAAGCAATTACTATAGAAGAGTCTGACCATAAGTATACATCGATTGGTGGCACATTGACATTTAGCGCTTTGAGTTCAGCTAATGTGTCATTGGCGAGTTCTGCTGCTAATAATGCTCCGCATAATTCCAATCTCGGAATAGTTGATGGTTTCATAGGGGCTACTCTGGACTTTGAGGTGTATAATCGAACGTCAATACTGCCATCAGATTTCATTGAACGCATATAAACACAAGCTCCGAATGCTTCTTGGGAAGCATCACTAAAGGCATGGAGCTGAATGTTTGACGAAGGAGACATCATGACCTTCCTTGGAACGATCACCTGATTTAAGTACTGCAAACTAGTATAAAATTTTGTCCGACGATTTTGTAAATCTTCAGAGAGCACATCATCCCAGCTGATTTTTAATGACCACAATTGCTGCAAGAAAATTTTTCCTCTGATTAACACGGGAGACAACAAACCAATTGGATCAAACACCTTACTGATGTCAGATAAAAGAGATCGTTTTGTCATTCTGGCTACTGGACACCATTGTTTAACTAGAAATAGAAAATTGTCTGATGCTGGTTGCCATAGAAGACCCAATGTCCCTATTGTGTCATCCTCGCTCATGTTTATGAGAAAATTGCTGTCGCTTTGTTGTTGTGGTATGAGATCAATAAGTTGGCGGGAGCTTGAACACCACTTTCGGAGTGGAAATCCATATTGCATTAGAGTAGAATGCAGCTGGCGGTAGATATTGTGCACTGCTTCTATTGACTCTCCACCACTTATCAGATCGTCCACATAAAAGTCCTGAGAAATGATTCTCCTAATTGAGGCATCATTCACTTCATCAGCGACTTTAGTGAGACACCGAGTAGCTAAAAATGAGGCGGCTTTGGTACCGTATGTTACAGTCTTCAGTTTATATTCTGTCAACTGATCATGTGGATTAGCACGATAACATATACGCTGGAAGTCACAGTCTTCATCTGCCACTCGCACCTGCCTGTACATTTTTTCCACATCTGCTGTGATTGCAATATTGTGGACACGGAACCGCAATAATATGTTGATGATATCCGGTTGGGATTTTGGTCCCTTTAACAAAATGTCGTTTAATGATAACCCTGAGTTTGATGCAGCTGATCCATCAAATACTACTCTAAGTTTGGTGGTTAGGCTATTCGCCTTCAACACAGCGTGATGAGGTAAGTAATAACATGGATTGGTAGTGTTGGTGGCGACTTCCATATGATCCATCTCGAGGTACTCGGTCATGAATGCCTTATATTCGTTTGCGAGACTTGGGTCCTTTGCAAAACGTCTTTCTAGATTTGAGAATCGCTTTTGGGCCATGTTTCGTGAGTCGCCTAATGCTTGTGGATCCTGGGCAAACGGTAGCTTCACAACAAATCTGCCGTTTTTGTCTCGTGCCACTGTTGATAAAAAATGCGCTTCTGCCTTTTGTTCATTGGCTGTTTTCTGTACAGCTACTGAGGTAAATAAAGACAAGGATGAACTTGAAGACACAGCGTTTGATGTATGCTTGACTTGACTGAACTTGATAGGCATTTTTCCTACGACTATCCAGCCAAAATCGGTGCTGCGTAACGAAGCCGTTTCTGTAAGTGGCCATTTTTCAGTGCCCAAAATGTCGAAAAATATTTCTGACCCAAGCAATATATCAATACTGCCTGGTTCATCGAATTTTGGATCAGCAAGTTCGTCCATAATGTGTCTTGGCAACATAATGTCGCTCCGTTCAATCCTATGGGAGGGTAATACATTTACTATTGTAGATAATGAATGTAAGACAGCAGTCACTTCATGGACACAAAATCGTGAAGAAATAGATGCTGAGAATGAACTTGAAGCTGATGAACTTATGGAGCCGATACCAGTAATGAATTGTTGTTTGTTGCCATGTGATAGTAACTTTAATCTCCTTGCACACTCATTAGTGATAAAATTAAGTTGAGATCCAGAATCTAGGATGGCTCTACACTTATGCCAATTTCCAGCTGGATCTTGGACCATAATGATGGACGTTGACAACATGACATTGAATTTGACATCAGAGTTTTGACCATTAGTAGCACCTGCTAAAAATACTGAACTGGGTGCACTCCCACTCGTGTCTATTTCAGCGCAGTTTGATTCAGCCAGTAAATTGTTCGATGGGGTATCCTCATGTAATTTTGAATTGTGCCGTTTATTGCATTTTGGGCATGACGACAAGCGACAATCTTTAATTTGATGTCCATAGTTTAAACAGTTGTAACATAATTTTGCAGCAGCAACGGCGTTTTTTCTTTCAGCAATTGACATTTTCAGAAAACTATTACATGAATAGATTTTATGAGGTTGTGTGCAGATAGGACACTTAAATACCTTTCCTTCGGCAGAGTGAGTAAAAAATATTTTGTTATTATGATTGCTATTTTTTGCTCGTGAAGCCTTTTCAACTGAAGGATTTGATATGAGACCAACTTCGTAAGCAGTTACTCGTTTTGCCAAGAATGACTCAAGATCTTTGTAAGATGGTAGCTCCTTATCTTGTCGCAGTTGCCACTCACTGGCAGTGATAGAATCAAGCTGGCCACATATTAGTGTCACAAGCCATGCGTCCCAATGTTGCACTGGCTGTCCCAACGCCTTGAGAGCACGGACATGTGACGCTACATGATGATGTAAGTTGCGAAGCTCAACTGCAGATGGTGCATTTACTTTAGGAGAATGGAGAAGTGATCGAATGTGGCTCTGGATGGTGAGACCTTTGTTCTCATATTGGCGTACTAATTCGTTGTAAGCAACGTTGTAATTTTCCGATGTTATAGAAAAGTTTTTTATAATATCAGCTGCTGAACCCGTTACACTAGACTTCAAGTAGTGCAGTCGTTGAACATCGTTCAACTGTGCATTATTGTGGAATAAAGCGTTGAATGTATCAATGAATGATGACCAGTCCTCCAAGCTTCCATTGAATGTCGGAGGCTGTATCATTGGCAACCTTACTGTCTCTCCGCCTGACGCACTAGAAGAATGTGATGTGTTTATAACTGTTGCAGTACTCATTTCAACGACCATGTCTTCCATGTTAGCTAATAGTGTCATATTCATGTCCTCAAACTCCAGTCGCGCAGCTTCATCTTCTTGCCCTTGGTCCAGATCTGAGATGCCTTGTTGAATTTCATTAAATTCAGAAATGTATTGAATTAATGATTTAAGTCTTATTTGAAGTTGACGACTTGATTGTGTGGTTTTGTTGAAACTGTTAACATAATTGCGAATCACTTCAACAGATGATTTGATGGAAGATCTTTTCTTTAGTAGTTTGCTTAATTTTGAAGAAATGGGAGGAGTCATGTTGCTGGAGTTAATGAATATAATAAAATGATGATCAACAATGTAAAAACAAATACAGTAATATCAATACAACATACCAAGTATGAAATAATTTTCTTATTTACTAATTTGATATAATAAAAATGACCAGAATTAGCAAATACAATAATAATATGATAAGAAGCTTCTTGATTAAATAATGTTAAACTGTATAATAATTAATTAATGCAATTATATAAAAACAGATATCACGTCGAGGTCACCAAATGTTTGAGCGCACCTAGCCTCTGCGCCTT